ATAGACAAGATCGTAGGTAAATGTTGAGATCGTGAGATATGTGGTGATATGGATCAATTTAATTTCAATTATTAGATTTGTGTCACGAACCAACATCAGTTAGAGAGATGATTGAAAACCAAAGAGTACTGGACAGCTGTTTCGTCTTATTTTGGGCCTTCTCTGAGACTTCCAGGTCACAAGCCCAAGCTCGTTGACTATTCAGCCACATGGGCGGAATCCACTGACCTATGAATTCTAAATTTATCAGTTAGTGATATAACTGAAGAGTCCCCAAATAAGACTAAAGAGCTGTCCAGTGCTCCCTGGCTTTCGGTGGTCTCTCTAAGGGATGTCCGTCCATGGAGAAATCTCATAACTGGAATAAAATTAATCATAAGTTTCCCAAATGAATGTCAGATTGGATTTTGTTTGATTGGTAGTAGCTAACAGTGGAACCCAGGACGAGCCTTCTCCACTATTTGGAACTTACCAGCTGGATGCACCTGTATCACACTGAGTGACAGCGACTCAAATCCAGTACCCCATGTTTTAAACGCCCATAGTCCAGTGATATGCATCGCAAAGCACAAAGTTTTCCCGTGAGTATATCAACGACTAATTTAAAAAGCAAAAAAAGTATATGAAACTGTGGTTGACTGACATAAAATCGATTAGGGAAGTGTATCAGTCAGTTTTGACACGGAATATTACTGAAAGAGAAATAAGCGTGCCACATATGAGCATAAATAAACGAAGATCAATAAAGATTTGCAAACTTTGAAATAGAATATTTCTGCGCCCCTATAAACGGCTTCGAGTCATATCCACAAGGATTTCCAGCTTCTGATTCTCAGTATACGCAAAACATCAACCAGGCAGACAACATTTCCCTATGTGACTCAAATCAGAGATTAGTGAATTCACCGACTGATTCCAATTTCCGGTATTTTTCAGTTTCATACTATATACCCTAATCACCTTATCTTATGGCTCTTCACAACTTCATAGATTTAGTTTCCCTCTTTGCATAACGCCTACACTTAACCTTTTTGTTATAATATTACTTAACCTAGAATAATCAACTTATTGAAGACATTTATAATCAAACAGTTGACATTATTTCATACCCTCAACAATCATATCCGACGGCCATAAAATAGGACAGATAGAAATATTGCATAGTTGATAAGATCATTTCATGGGCACTTGAATATCACGTCTTTGTCGAAAGTAATGAGTGCAGTCCACACAGGTTTATGTAACTCCCTGAATAGACAAAGAGATTAGGAAATGAGGAACACCTTTCAACAGATTAGGAAATGAGCTGACGGTGTAAGGGATGCTGCCAAATCATTCCAATACATGGGGTTGTGAGAGAACTAGAAATTGGCTTGGACATTTTGATTTAATTGTGTTTTTTGTACTGGATAGTGGTTTCAATTGTGAAGGTTCCTAGAACAAAACAATTACCCTGCAGTGGTGAACTTTCCAAGATTTTCCAGAAGACATCACAGTGTCATGACAATATTGTCGATGTCACTCAACTTTCAGTAAACCTCCAAACTAAAATTTCGACAGTGTTTCAAATTTTTAAAGGCTGTCTGCCTGAACAGGCTATTTTTAACGGGAGATTATTAGTTTTAATGTTATAATGCCTACAAAAGAATCTAGATATTTCTACAGATAAAGACAATCCCTAAAGTTCAAGTTTGACCACAGACTGATATCAGTTAGAGAACCATTCAAAACTAGAGAGTACTGGACAGCTGTTTTATCCTAGTTTGCGACCCATCAGCAGTACACAATCGCTGGGGTTTGAATTGAGGATCTTGCGCTTATAGAGCAGGCTCGTAGACAATTCAGCCAATGGGATCCGGCTAAACGGCCAGTCCATGAATTCTGACTTCTACCACTTCGTAATTCTTGCACATATATGACATTAGTCATTAAAAATATGTGGTGACTGTTGACATTTTTCTGTTGGTACAAATGTCTACCGACAAGTGACCTTAAAAGGAACTGACTTCAATTTATGTAATTTTTGATGATTAAGAAAATCCGGATAATTCTGCTGAAGAAGCTGCGGTGGCCTACACAGCGAAACGTTCAGAAAAACCTTGTTTTGATTTTGCTTAAACGCACACTGAGATTATTTTAAATAATTTATAATGATTCACTAATCTGACTCATCACTCAAATTATTCCAGGAAATTTATCACTGTTTCAATATTCTCTCATTAACTTGAATTTTTATTCTGATACTTCGTACCTTTACCGAGCTCACTGTTAAGTCCCCCTACAAACTGGTTGCAAATAATGACGGAGAACGGAGTTCAAAAGAAATGCACCGCTGAAGCTTTAGATTCCATTTGAAATGCTCGCCAACCACTCACGTCGGTCGGTCGGTCGGTTTTCGACATAGAACTTTGCACATATGTGCGGCAGTTCAAGTCGCCACATTCCCTCCATGTAGCACACAAAGCAAGAGAAGAAAGTAGAAGAAATGCATAATATAGACAGTAAACAGAGGTGTGAGACAAAGGAATAGTAATAACGGAGAACAAAACAGTTTAATTGGAAATCATAAGTCACAAGGAGTGGATGCATCTGCGCCACTGAGAACGATTTTGAGCCATGTCACCAATTGTTTCCAACCATTGGTTTTTACCGTCCCGAGGACCCCAACCAGGAAGTCTACACCTTCCTACGTGGCCTAGACTAACTGTTGTGGATTTCATTGACTGGTGCCATGTTTTCGTTTGACCGCCGCTAGCTCTTTTCCAGCCTGACCCTATATCAGCTAACATTGCCGGTCGAGGAAGGCGATGACTAGGCATACGTAACACATGTCCTGACCATCTCAGTCGATGTAATTTCACAGTCTCGTCGACTGATTTCCCCTCCTTACCTAGCACTCGACGCCTAACCTCAATATTGCTCACCTTATTATACCACTTCACGCGGGAGATAGAACGCAGACACCTATGATCGAAGACAGCTAATCTTTTCATGTCTTCTGCTCTCAATGGCCAGGTCTCACAGCCATAAAGGAGGACGGAGCGGACTGTTGAGCAGTACACACGCCCTTTGGTCGATAGTCGGATATCACGTCTACGCCAGAGATGGCGTAAACTGGCATATGCGAAACTAGCCCTCTGTATTCGTGCTGAGATTTCGTCGGAGATCAACCCGTTGGGGCTGATGGTACTTCCCAAGTAAGTGAAGCGGTCAACGTGCTCTACCACTTCACTTCCTATTTCTAATCTAGGGGTCGGTGAAGTCCAATCCTGCAGCATCATCTTACATTTTACAGGGGCGAATCGCATGCCAAACATACGAAGATTGTTGCTCAAGGTGTTCAGTAGACTCTGCATTTTGTCAGAGTCCTCGCCTAGAAGGACTATATCGTCCGCATATTCTAAGTCGACGAGATTATTCCCTGGTAGCAAGTCAATCCCTGAGTCGCTGAAGTGAGTTAGGGTTAAGTCCATTAGTACGTCTATGATGAAGTTGAATAGGAATGGGGATAATGGGCATCCTTGACGGACGCCACTAGTCGTCACCACTTCAGATGACAACTCGCCATAAGCCCTCACCTGACTGCATGAGTACGAGTAGAGTGCCTTGATCAGTGCAATGTATTTTCTCGGTATTCCCTTTACAGCCAAGCATAGCCAGAGAACCTCTCGGTCGACAGAATCGAATGCCGCCTTTAGGTCAAAAAATATAATGATTGTCGGACGCCGGTAGGAACGCCTATGTTCTAGAATCTGTCGAAGGGTGAAGATATGATCAATACACCCTCTTCCCGGCCTAAAATCTGCCTGGTTTTCTCGTGTTTGTGTCTCCCGAGCACCACTTAGTCTACGCAGTATTATTGAGACTAGGATTTTAGATACTATATTAGTCAAGCTAATCCCTCTGTGATTATCACAAGAAGACTTGTCTCCCTTCTTGTATATCGGGATGACCAGTGACTTACACCAACCCGATGGGACTTCCTCTGATTCCCAGACGCTGCCTAGAACCGCAGTTAACGCAGACAGTAAACTGTCTCCACCGTACTTAAATACCACCCACGTTGTCCAGAATCGATTCCCAGGCAACAGACACACACACACCTAAACCTTGCCTAGTAGTTTACTGGAGGGTAGTCAGCTCAAAAAAAGACAGAAAGTTGAGTCAGCGTATGGTTAGCAGCCACATTACCCAATTGCTACTAAAAGTTGTGAAGCTTGAAGACCTTTGGTCCAGCCAGAATGTATATTATTATTGTTCTCTTGAGTTCAGAGTGGAACATAGGGCTTCCACAACACATCTCCACTTTGTTCTATTTTCTACCGTCCTCTTCAGCTGGGTCTACGATTGACCAAAAACTCTCTCATCTCTCCCTCACATGATCTTCTCCATATCACCCTAGGACGACTTATTCGTCGCTTCCCATTTGGTTTCTACTCGAGGGCCTGGTGTGCGATGTCATTCGGTGGCCTCCTCAATGTATGCCCGATCCATCTTCATTTCCTCCTGCATATTTGTTGAGCGATCGGCTCTTGGTTGCTTTGTTCCACTGCAGAGTTTCTTGTTGCTTATTCTTTCTGGCCATTTGATCTTCAGTATGGAGCCAGCGAAGACAACTGTTGATGAAAATCTGCAACCTGTTGGAAACCCTTTTCATGACATGCCAAGTTTCTGACCCGTATACAAGAACCGACTTCACACTGGTATTGAATGTAAGGAATGAATACTAACATAATATAATAACAGCAAAACAGGAGCTATTTTATTCCAGTTATCCTGCACCAAAATGCTTGATCTCTTTCGATCTATCAATTCCCAAACTACTGGGACATTTCAACGATGTCTTGAGATTAACGTGATGATAAAAGACGAAGAGTAAAGAAAACGATTTTTCCACTGACCAATCAACAAAAACTTTTTATATACATGTTTGTCCGTTTTTCTATCACAATGGACACAACAGAATAAAACAGAGGAGAAAAGAAAAGAATAACAGGGTTTCATATTTTTTTATCCATAAAAAATCCTCTATGATAAAATGATCTTTTACTTTTAACTTTATAACAACAACTGGTGATTTCTGATTATTCGTTGTAAATAAATAATAAAAATATGAACAGATATGTGTATTGGCGTATTGAAACATTGACAAGTGTTTTATAATGAAAGTAAAACACAAACGGCGGTATATGTATAAATATACGAATTTTTTAATCTTAAATAATTCGAGAAGAATAAAATAATAACAGTAATAATCCAATGATCATAAATGTATTGAATGTCAGTGAAACAGACAATGGCGGAGTTGAATTACATCCATTTTTATTATTACAATTACAATAACGAACTTTAACACGATATGTGCCTAATCGATCAATACACCAACGACCATCTTCTGCACCAATTACACCGGTTACTGCACAATCTCGATAATAACGTCTAGTCCACTTTCCATCTAAATACACTGAAAAGTACGAGGGAAAAGCAAAGAACCAACCACATAAGTAAAATGGGAATTTATTATACAGGACAGTTATTTTACAAATTAAATGAAATGATATCGACTTTGAGGAAAAACTGAAACCAGTATTAAATGACTGGTATCATCCTAGCCTGTGACGCTTCAACGAAGAGCATTGACGACCCACATACATTACTGAACTGAATAATTGTAATGAAAAGTACTATGCAATTTGAAGACAATTGTTTGTACCAATGAAACTGAGTAATTGTCGTAGTCAATTTTTTAAAAACAAACGATCAGAAAAACCTGAAGCACAACATTTCAATCCAGAGATGAAATGGGTGAAGTTCAACAATAGCTTCTTAGGAGTGCAAACGCCCCAATGACCTTGAACGCATGCCATTCGTTGGCTAACGGCACCTGTCATTATTATCATAACTAGAACATCAACGCTATTCACCAACTAAGATGCAAATTTCACCCAGATCACGTTTTTAAGTACTGTTTAGACAATGTGTTAATAGCTCGATAGGGTTAGGATCAGGGTCATAGTTAGGATTAGGTTTAAGGTTAGAATAAGGGTTGTAATTAGGGTTAGTGTTAAGTCTAGGGTCAGGGTCAGGATTAAGGTTAGGGTTATGGTTAGGGATAGATTCAGAGTTGATGTCGTTCATTTTTATTAGCTTTATTATCTATATTTTCCTGGCAAGTGGTCGTCGATCCTCTTACTGGAAACCATAGTAAGTCAACCGAGGGCTTTTGGGGGAAGACTGCACAACACGATAAGAGAGATAAACGATTCACAAAAACAGCTCATCTTCAGTCACCTCGATGAATACATGTAGAGAAACTAGTCTAACTTAGCAACTGATACTCCTTATTATAACTGGGACGTATTTTTAAGTCATGCGTTTTCATGCATTTTCTTGTAAATATACGACATTTTTTGTGCGAAAATTCCTCATTTTTATGATTGGTCGGCTGAAGGTCACTCATGCGTTCGCATCCTTGGGACGCTAATGTTGAACTTTGCCATGAAATGAACACGTTTTTGTACAGAAAATCTGAAAGCGCAGTTGACGAAACTTTGAGAGGAGGACTCAAAAAGCTGCCTTTACTTCTCTCTTAATTGTAATATATATTAAAAATAGGGCATTGGTAGAATTCTCGCCGACCAGGCAGGTGGTCCAAGTTCGATTCCCAGTTGACGAATTCCCACACCTCATCTAGTTTACTGGTCGGTAGTAAAACCAGAAAAAAGGAAAGTTTGGGCTTGAGGCTAGCGACCACAGACGGTAAACGAACAGCACCACCGCTATTGAGAAATCAAATCTTGAAGCCTTACTGTCCATTCATAACAAAAGGAGTGAAAAACAAAAGTAAAAAAACTAAGTAACCGTCTAATGTTAACTACATTCCCAAGATTTTCCAGGTGATATCGATTTTTTCAAAGACAAGCATACGGTCGAAAGGCAAAAAGACTATCAGAGATCTGAACGTCACGGATGAATTGTGTCTAATATCGAACAAACTGTAAGATATGCAGAATACAACCAACAAGTTGTCAAAAGAGGCAAGCAGAGAAGACAGTACTTCAAGTAAACACAGACAAAACTTAGATAGTGAAGGTACCCAACCAATAACACCAATCACTTTCAACGGGAGGAATCGTTTCAGCTACCAGTGGAATGGATGACCATGTCAAAGTCAGCCAGGATCGGGAAAGCAAGATAGACCTTCACTACCTTGATGTTTTTGTGAATGTCGACTGCACCCAACACAACCAACGAGAACCCAATTATCAACACTAATGTCAAATTATTGTTCTTATATGGTTCAGAAACTTTGCACCCGCTTCACTGAAAGCACTTCCAACAGGCTACAGCAGACTTTCATCAAAATCTGCCTTCACTCTATACTGAAGATCAGATGGCCGGCCATATAAGGAACACTGGCAAGTAGTGAACCAACCAAGAGCCTCTCGCTCAGCAAACATATGCATAAGGCAATGAAGGTGGATGGCTGGATATACACTGAGAAGACTTTCGGGTGACATTAAACTCTAGGCTCTCTAGTGGAACCTGGATGGGTGTTTCAGTGTGGCACGGAGATCATGTGAGAAGGAAATGAAAACTTGTAGGCCAGACTAGAAAGAGACTGCAGAGAAAATGTAGCTTCAGCAGCCCATCGACATTTCATTATGTTCTACTTGGAACCCATGGGAATAATAAGAATAATATACGATTTGTCATGACAAATATATTAATGTCAGTCAACTCTCAGTGAATCTCCCGACTGAATACTCTGAATTATTTCAATTTGTAAGGACTATCTACCTCTCTATAGTGTTCCTAACAAGGGATAATTAATTTCCCATATGACAAATAAATGAGAAAGTGACTCAAGGAGTTTAAGTGAAAACAATGATAACTATTTCTATCTCATAATTTCATCTTATTTTGATATGTATTCTTAAAAATTATTACAGAATTGATCACGCACGAACTAACATCAGTTAGATAACCGTTGAAAAACCAGAGAATAGGCAGGTGTTGAAATCCATGGACCAATGGATCGGGTTCGAGTGGTTGAATGGTTTATGAGCTCTCCTTGTAACAAGACAGTCTTCCATTCGGATCCCCGCGGGTAAGTCCCAAACTAGGATGAAACAGATGCCCCTGGTTTTCCAGTGGTTCTGGGATTGATGTCAGCTCGTGATCGGTGGCACAGTGGTTATGACTCTCGCCGACCATGCAAATGGTCCGGGGTTCGATCCCCCGTCGACCCACACCTGATATCTATGGTCGGCCTGCAAAATTTGGGGTACCGATATCACACACTGAAAATTCCATAACTGTACCAAAAATACGGTGTAGAATCAAGCTATAATCAAAAAAGAACCTGTAACCAATCAAACCCCTGCAAACCAACACCTGATAATTGCAGGAATCTTCCACTTTTACACTTCTCTAGAGAGAATAGAGACACTACTCGTTCAGCAAATAGTATACGTTTCCTTTGACTGGGGCTATGCTGAATGATTCCAGAGACAAGAATAAAAAGTTACTTGAATCGATAAGGATTTTATCCGAAATCCTCAGTGTTGTCGGGATTTCTTCATCACCTCCAATTCAATTCGGAAACTAAATTTATGAGAAAACCGGCACCATAACTATCCAAACTATTTGAGGTTATAAATGACTATATTTGAAGAAACATTTCAAAAATCTTTCTAAGTTAATCAACCTTATGGAAAACAATGATACACACTAAATAAAATCAACTGTTTTGTAGACCAGCTATCTGATTTTCAGTGTACAGCTTTGAACAGGAACGCAGCAATTCAAGCTACCATATTCCATGTAAAACACAAAGAAGGAGAAAAAGGAAATATTCAAAACAACTACAACGGATAGAAGTGTACCGGAGAAAAAACAATCCCATGGAAAAACATTAGAACCCAGGAGATTATTAGGAGTGAATGCATCCACGCTAATGAGGACGATCTTGAGTAGTGTTACCAACATTCTTAAGCAGTGGCGCTTAGAGTCTTGAAGACAGTCTGACAGCCGACACCTCTCTTTGTGGTCGGCTCAAGCCAACAGTTAAATACCTCCCCAGTTGATGCCAGGTTTTGATTTGATCACTCCTAAATCTCCTCCAACATGATCTTATGTTAGCTAACATAGACTGAGTGGGAAAACAGTAATTTAGCATGTGTACCACGCGTCCTAGCCATCTCAACCGATGCAGCTTCATAACCCCCTGGATTGACTTCCTCCTCTTACGTAACACCCTGTGCCTAACCTCAATATCACTGTATCGTAGTAATTTCAGCTTTTTGTGACAACAATTTTCACTGAATGCTGCCAGATCCTATTGGTACTGAAGAGGTTTAACTCTGTTTATATACCATAAACATTTTAGAAACCATAACACGTGGTTCCAAAAGAAAATTTTATATGAACACAATATTCTTGCTTTATTTCAGCAGTAACTTTGATATACAGAGAAACCAGAGTTATATACGTAGAAATAAAGCCTCAGTACCTCAAACTGAAAACGCTGTCCTCAAGATAGTGGATTTGACTAAAGTAACTATGTGGGAAAACAACTAAATTTAAATGTTTTAATGGATGAGCAACAAAAACCAACAAATTCGCTTTAATTGAAGCAATCATTGACCGAAGTGTTGTAAATTATAGAGCCAAACAATTTACAGATGATAGAGGACCATTATTATCAATCCATGATTAAACTTGAAATAAATTAAATCCCTACAAACAAACTCTTGAAAACTTGAAGATATTTTAGCAAATTAAATCCATGGCGCAGATTGACATAAAGCCTAACATGAAGGTTTATCAGTGTATCATAACACTTCCAAACAATACAAGAAAAGGCGAACACGATAGGAAAATCTGGACCAAAGCAGTACGTGTAACATGTAACCGTAAAATCTCAGTTGCTGAAAATTTGCTAACAAACTGACCAGTTTTTCTACCTTTCACTACTTATTCTTTGGTTTTAACTTTTGGTAACTTTGCTAAAAAACGCCCACGTTCAAAATGCCAGACAATTTATATACTCAGGGTTTTACTAAGTCGTTGGTGTTAGAGAAAAGCACACTGGTTCTTAACACAGTTACTCCTAACAGGTCCCATTCTATAAATGAGGCTACGGGGATTATGGAGAACAAGAGAAGAGTGAGGCGGTTATTGTATGCTTTGGAATACTTTAATAACAACTAAACCGTTGTGAGTGTTATAGCCTTTTAAATAAACGAAACATGTGATGAATGAGATAGCCTAACTTCCAACTTCTTAACCAGGGATTAATGAAGATCGGTCATTACTTTATACTTGATATAAACACCACAAACATGCTCAAAATTTCAGCTGTGACTGTTAGAATAAGACTTACTGTTCCATCCGAACAGATGCCTATATACCTCTTATTTTTATACAGTCCTGCATTGCTTATCTATCAATCATACGCACATTTGCTTTAGCTACTTCTTTTCGGTGCTGCCTGGAACATAAAAACATGAGACCTTGCAATAATGCATCATCCGAGTAGCAAAAGAAACCTCAAAAACACAGCAAATACAGAAATGAGTCCGTCCATTATGCATCATGACTTGTGATCCCGTAAAAAAGAAAGTGATAAGACACTTCAATTTATGGTCAACTAAATGACGACTTAAATTGTCATTTACCCTAAACAGTAATGATGATAAATATTTGAGTGCATACTGTTTGTTGAGCAGTTGTACGCGCCTAATTCTCTAACTGTTCTTAAAAATATTTGACGGGCAGTTTACGCCAAATCTGCTCTCATTCACAGTTTCCAAACAGAATAACGATAATATTTCGTGGTGGTGTAAATGGATGAATGTTGGCTTAGAGAAAACCTGCAGGTCACGTATTGGACATAATCAGGTAACTCGATTTACTGAGATATTAATACTCCTAATATGACTTTCATGAAATAACTGACTTATTAATATCTCTTCATTCTTTGAGGGTGTTCAAAAAGAGCTTTAGCCCCTTAGTTTGAAAAGAATAAGGTACAGTGGCGAAAAACAGTCATAAATTTTGGTATTACTGAAACGTCCACACACGCTATTTAGGCGAAGAAATTTGAACTTTAAGTGAATCATTACTTTATTTAAATGGCAATAATTCCAGTAAGAAATAATTAGACTGTAGCTGAATATAAAAATCACCTCAAACTATTTCCACTTTCTATATTTGCCGACATAAACTGCATTCATTGGCTGCAATTAAGAAGTATAGGTACATCTACACAACAAAACTAAGTCCAGTAAGTCTTATCACCAGCTGATAGTTGCAATTCATCTGCTAAACGGATTTCAATACCATTAATTAGTTCATTTGGAAAAAATTTTGATATCCTGTATGATACTTATGACATCATGTGGCTCACAAGACTAGACTGGTAACAGTTGTCACACTTTAACTAATTGAGAAGACAAAGAAAATTTAGACGAACGGTGCACCAGAACGTTTAAACGCTAAACCCACTGATATATCACCTCCTTTATACGACTACTATTCATTAGGGTCCTTTGAGATTTTACGTTTACGAGAGTTTACCTGACTTATCTTTGTAACTTGGATCAACCGTCTCACTGAAATACTTTAGAACGGTTCTTATAAACAACAGGAATCTCCAGCTTACAACTAATAAATGAGCCCAAAAAATCAATCTGGTTTACATTAACCTGTAAAAACTATTTTGGATATGGAATATTGCAACTTCCATGGAAGTTTTCGATACACATTAATATTGATCGACTTACTTTCCTGGATCATTTTGACACATCTGGAATAATTCTTGCCATCATTTGGACAAGCAACTAGTGGAAAAGTTCGATTGTCGAAATAGTCTCCGCAATGTGGTTGGGTTAATGAGTTGCACTGATAACATCGCAGTTCTGATCCAATCCCTGAATTCAAGCATCAAAATAATGATATAAGTTATGAATATCGTCCTACCAACTTGACATCTGTAGGCAGAAGCCATTATTAGGATAAGGACTAATTCTATCACCATTTCCGCATTAGCTTTTGAAAAAGCAACGTTTACATCAAGCTGGATCTTGGGTTTATTAAAACACACCGGTCCAACCGAGCGACTTCCTACAAAATTTTTCTGTTCCTCTCATTCTCCACCAAAAATAAGGCATCGTTTCTTCAAAAAATGAATGGTTTTCATAGTCATTAGAAACTTTCTGTTTTTGTTGTGATAATCCGTATCCTGTACTCAATATATGGTTATCAGTTCGTATAGATCTGTTGATTTTTCACCCTAATTTCTTAGTTCCAAATGGATTTTCAATATAACCATTTGGGTTCCATGAGACTGATTCATTCACCTACAGATTAGCCACAATGTCATCCAGGATATTAGCACTACTGGTGCCAAATATGGTCCAGTCACTATTCAGTCCTCTAGATTAGCCAAAGGCAAGGACATACGCAGTTAACAGGAAGACAGTACCAGTGCCCATTCATAACCCCAAGATTAACTGCATCGCTAACAATGAATGCAGAAAATACAACCCTGCCTATCAGTCTCGACTTCATAGACTAGGGATAAACAAATGTGATGCCCTCTTATTCGAACTATCAGATGAATAACCGTACTCGAGTTTCTTGAAGGAGTATCATGGTGTAAATAAGATGGAACTACTAACTATTTTGTGTGAAAATAAAGTTTGACAATTGTGGTTCGATACCTCAATTTGTGATGAGTTCTTGCATTTTTGTGAATAAATTAATGTCTACCGTTGAAAGGGGGTAGTGCAGTAATATGAAAAACATCGAGAAAACACCACTCGAATGTTTAATAAATCTTCGAAAATTTCAGAGACTATGCACAGTCATATGAGGTTTAATAGTCACATGTACTCAGGGTTAGTTCTGAATAAAAAACGATGCATGACAGGAAGTCCCAGTCTGCAAAGCCACTTAGAATACGGTCTGTACTCCCTTTTTAGGCGTTTTTGAGCCATTATTAACGGAGATACGACAGCCTTTGATTCATTCTGAGCAGTTACAAGAATTGCTGAGTGCTTCTAATAGCCCTGAAAGCATAGTTACAAGAATCAATCGTCTAAGACACACATCGTGTGTATATGATTCTTATATGAGTGGAATTCCCTACCATCCATGAAAATTCTAATTCAGGACGGGGATAAATAATACATAGACAAAGGCATTTTAACCTAAACATTTGGTTTGGCTGTAACTAAGCTGTCAGCAGGTCAGAAGTAAATCACCAACCATTACTGAAGGTATGTTGAGCCTCACGTAGAATATTTGCTGTTCAGGTTTTAACAATTCAAGTGTTCATGATAGCGGAAATCATACTTGAGGCTATTAATAACAACGCTACGGGGTTTAAGCAACTTCTCGTTCAACCCTCAAAATTAAGGAAACAGAATGGCATGCTAACACGTGTTTAGAGAACTATGGAGAATCAGAAAAAAGAAGGCGTCCCCAAACCTTTCAGCAATGGGAAGTCTCCCGTCTCCTCACCCTAAAATTATCCCCTTCTATACAACATGCATAAATTCATTTGAGGCAAACCTGTGGTATTAGATGCCACACTAAAACATCTTTGTGAATTCTTACACTTTTTCATTTTCGAACGCATCATGAGACTTTTCGTACGTCTCCAGGCTGCGGAGGCATTCTCTACTGGGGCTTCTAAAGGCACATACTTAACCTAGCTGATGAATTTGCTCAGCACTACAAATCAACACGGGCAGTATTAGTTTGTATTTCTTGAGCAGGAATTGGTTGCAAATGCCCCCTATCTCCTCTTACCTTCAATTCTCATAAACTCTCCAGAACGCTGGTGTCTTCTTGGACAGTATTCACCTATACCAAACTCTTCTAATTTTTTGGTCAGATGTCCTGTGCCTTCTTTCAACTAAATGGCATTCTGTTCAGCACTTATTGCCACCACAACAGCGTAATTGTTACCACCCACATTTTGAACTCAATCTCAGTGAGGAGGACACAGCCCTCCAAAATCTACCATTCAGTAAAAGCCACATGCACAACAAGGATAGAATACTTCAAGGGCTGGTCTCCAATTCTTCCTTTCCTTGCTACCAGGTGATCATTTCTTTAAAAATAGCCAGATCTACATGGTCTGTCATTATGGTTCCAAAGTGTTTTGATGGCAGATTGGTAACAGTGGGTTCATGTGAAATAATTTTTTTTGAATTCTACAGTGAAAACAGAACTAGGCGGATTGCTATGTTGTTCGATAGTCACACTCTTGTGGGGTTTTGCGTTTCGTCAAACATAGTAATGACAGCGAAATTTAACAGTCACGTAGTGCCAAGAATCCGTGGTTTTGGAGACAGAGTTCACTTCGGTATTCCCGATTAGGTGGATGTATCTGGATAATAAGGTAAGGGTACATCTAGAAGTATATTTTCATACTCTGACATTATACTTCATACATAATTTCCCAATGTCATGCTCATCGGATATTTTCGCTGTTCATCCTGAAGCTCCGTGTTTGAATCACCACATAGTTAACTTACAACGTTTTTTGATAAACCACACAGTGTTGTACAGTAATGTTAACTGGTGACGTTTTGAGCATAAACCATTGCTCATAATATCATATCGTAATCATATATCATATCATAATCATATCAACTTGATATGATTACGAGCAATGGTTTATGCTCGAAACGTTATCAGTTAATATTGCTGTACAACACTGTGTGATTTATCAAAATAAAATCTTATCCATAATTTAGTTAAACTCTGCCACAGCGCCCAAGTTTTATACTTATATCTACAACGTTTCCTTCAGGCTTTGCGTTCTCCATATTTCGAAGAGGGTTAACTCCAAAATAATTACTATGCAGGGTCTCTACTACACAGTGTGCTATAGCCACCGAGATCTAGTTAGTGATTAAGGAATTCAGAAAGATATGACGAATAGTCCGGTGGTTACTGTATCTTCTCTATAATGTATATGGCTCCCTTTATCTACCGAGTGGTGGATGCCTTTTCTGTGTGTCTGACTAGGCTTCCCACTTCACTTGCCCACTGTCGCGCCTTCATGGATAAATTTTTAAAAATGGAATTGGTTTTCCACAATAATACATGCTGTCAATAATGTGAGGAGTTATATTGATAGAAAAATCGATTCCTAAAACTTGATGAATATCCTATTAGTCCAATTTCATAATGTCTTCAGGGTTTGGAATTTAATATAACTATATTTGGAACCTGGTGGTCTGTCAGGTTTGGCTGTTTTGTTGATGTCTGCAGGTTCATATATTCGTAGCTACTTAAGGCTGCAAAAAGCATGCTGTCCTGCATCCAACCCGTTGAATGGTGATGTAGCTGTAGGCTATCCTTTTTATGAACGTTTTTACTGTGTAAATTCGATCAGTGGGTGCATAAAAAATTAATCCATACGTGTATTTTGTGTAACTTAATCATGATATCCGTGTCTTACAGCTGCCCGAAAAAAATGGCACCGGCGTGAGATCAGCAACAGTAGTCTATAACTTTTGAGATAGTCTGCTACGCTCTTCATCATTACCAATATCCTTCCTCGACTTTGGGTTTAGTACTCTACCTTACCAAAAATGCAGCTATGGCAGCAACCAGGTTGTTTGTCAACTTTCAGTTTGCCACTGGGCACAATGTACTTGCCCACCTTCTGGTACCTACGTGTCTGGAGGGTCATCGTCAAGGTTACTTACAATAAAGCCACCTTGGTAGAATGGAACATGAGTACGAAAGTTGTGACTGAAGTTGCATGGCAATAATACCAACACGGCCATGTCAAAAAACGCAGAAGCTATCATTCATAGGAAGCATGGCGTGCCTTCTACACTAGGACAAAACATTCAATTTTAATAATAATGGGGAAACTATACACTATTTATATGACTTTCGAACCATGCCCGTTTAATAATTAATGTTCTAGAAAACCCACTACTGCGAGGAAACAGTCGGCTTTTAAGATCCCCGCGTTATTTAGTTGATAGATTCCTTGGCCAGACAGTGAGAAACAAAGTCAGCGTATCCACATACACAACAGGAAGCCTATATATATTGTCTTTGTAGATTTTAATGAAGTTTCAGATGACGCAGCATACACCATTGTGTTTACACCATGGTATTGTTTCTGAAACATCCAGTTACTTGAAATAAAGTGTCCCTCTCAGATAAAGATGGATGAACCAATTGAGGAACAATTTCAGACTCCTCTCGTAGTTACGGAAACATAGCTACCTTCCTGAGGAAACCGTTCTGGGTTCAGAAAATCCAGAAAATCTCACACAATACAAAAGTTTCCACAGAGTTAAATTCATGAATTTCTGATCCCATACACCTTAATTGAGACACACCCACCCTGGTGTCACAAAAAAGTGTGAAGGTAAGATGTTTTCCTCAGATTCGGGGTCTAAAGTTCTTTCGACAACATGCAGATATCTCACTGTAGTAATGTTGAGCATGCAGATGATTCCATATATATCACGTGGTTTCTCCATCAGACACACTTTCTGCCTGATGAGCGTTCTTGACAGATTTTTTTAAATTTATTTTTATTTTGATTACAGCTTGATGCCATACCGTATTTTCAGTACAAGTATGGAATTTTCAGCATGGATATAAGTAGCCCAAATTTTTCAGGCCGACCATAGATATCGGGTGTGCGTCGATAGGGGACGCACAGTGGTGGCACAGTAGTTAGGACAAAAGCAGGTGAATTTTAGGTATTCTGAGGATTCTGTTCTAAGGATGCCTGAGTTACAGTTAGGATTTTCTCCTGACATAAACATAATGGGGTTAAAGAAGACTAGTAGCCAAAGAGTTTCTTTGTGCTTCCTCTGGACAACTGACTGCTCTCAATCTTCACATTCCGACGTCTAGCTGTTTAGCAGTCCAAATAAGTACGAGTTAGTAGAACCTACCTACTGGATCTGTTTTGACTGTGCCACTATAATACGCAGTTACTGTCTGAGTAATATTATAGGTGGAAAAATGTGAAACTCAAATATCACTGAAGGAGAGGTTGTTATACTGATGTGAATCCGACAAATAAGCATCAGTAAGAGGCTCGAATCAATGACCCACTACCAATAATTGAAAGTGTTTCACCGTGTAGGTTAAAAGAAAAGCAAGTATCCAGAGAATCACTTAGACAAAATGAGCGCAAAATGTAACAACCAATCCAGAAGAAAAAACTAACCACATTGTTGAAATAAACGTGTTTTACAAAGCATAAAATTCTAAAAATTTATGCCAAATATACACATTCACAGCAAGCAACACAACATGTGCAGAACAAAAAACCCAAATGAAGGGAAGCGTCAAACATCTAAAATGCACTTCCAGGTTAGTGCAAAGACTGTGGAAAATGTAGGGGGTGAAGTGAAAATTGGCTTGACCTCCGTGGAAATGCACTTATTTACATCTCACACCTCATCACTGACTTCTCTTTACGATGACAAACTTGGTAACATATTCAGTGATACATTTAACTTTTCCTTTGGTAGTAGAATCGTACATGAGTCTAGTGTCAGATGCATGCCATATAAAGTTCCCATCGAGTGTTTTTTCTGAAATTAGTCCTCTGAATCCCGTCACTCACGACCGAATACAGCAAGTAAACCCAACTACTTAAAGCATGACTACCCAAGATCTTATGCTAACAAACAACCCATCCCTATCTGTAATCCATGAAGCATGAATTTACAGGCAGAAGTGACAAATTAAGTCTCTTCCTGAAAGTTTGTGCTGCAACAAAGCCTATCTAACATGTATAAATTCGCATTCTGATACCAATAAAGCTTCAGTGTCACCTACCGGCCGAAGGAAAAGCACCTTTGTAGTGGTGAGAACCAATGGATTGTGTGGCAGAAATGTCTACTCTCGGTTTCGCAACCTCGTTAGCTATATCTATCAATTGTGGATGAGTTGCAAGAGGGTGCTAAAATTCCTGGCAAAATTTGTAGCCATAACTGTTTAAGAGGAGTGTTACGGGTTCTCCAGTCAGCCAATACCTACTTTCAAATGATTCTATAGGCTTCTATAGGGTTCCTAGGAATATCAGAAACATCCTCAGTAATATCTTCGCGAAGGCCAACAGTGACTAAGTTTGTTGTGTTGCTATATTTTGACTGAACTAGAGTACACGTATCTTCTAGTACTTCCTCGCGTTTATAATTCTGTGCTAACGTTGTGATTACTCGACGTCCACAACGTAATTCAAAAGGCACTTGCGAAGGAATACGATAGTGTATTATTGCAGCAATCAATATTCAAAAATCGAGCGAGTACAAAAAGGTATCAATTGTTAACATGCAATCTTTAGAGTAATAAATAAATCAAAGTAGAATTACACAATGAAAGTATAGTACGATTATGAGTAATAAAATGGGTCACTACAAGTTAGACCTAGTTTCTTGTAATTGATACCTCTGCAGAGTAAAATTGGCTTTTGCATGAAGGTGATAAATGTCCACAGGAAATGGCAGGTTGCAGCAAAGCTGCCATTTACTCAGTCTCTTGAATTATCTGGTTATATGACATTTGCCGACTCTCACCCCTATCCCTAAACTACCCTAGTGTCAACTGTATTTAGCAAGATGCTGATGCCTAATATGCTGTAAAACTGCTTAAGCAAACAAGAACTTGTTCTTACTAGAATGTGGGTATGACTGTTTAAGTGTAATTTGATTAATTTGCGTGATATTAGATATCACAGATATACTCAGTAGCTGAGTCAAAATAAAGAAGACAGGCGTTTGTACACAGTGTACGAAAATCTAACGAGGATTCAGAGCACTCCTTGATGTAAATAGTTACAGAAAAGTCCACTATTTCACCAAAGTTTGTTACAAACTTATTGCATATTGAAGCTCCTAGACCATATGGTGGTGGTTTGGCGCGGCATTTTCAAAAATCTGGTAGATTTTCACAGCTTTGAATTTGTGAGCGTTGTGTCATTTTGTGTGTACTTTATTTATTCTGTATCTTTGCTTTAGTTTCATTTGATGTGTATGCTTGCCCTCTAATCCAAATTTTACTCTTACAGAACCAGTGGCCTACCATCTCCCACTCCAAGTCCGATCTCCCAGTCTCCCTCCAGACCTAATCACCAGGTGGACAACAGTTTATCAGCAGCTGCTTTTGGGCTCTAAAATGATAGGTGTAAGCAATATCACAAATAGAACAGATCCCAACAGCATGAAATCACGTGTTTTTGTGGGAAATCTTAATACAGTACATATGTCAAAAACGGAACTGGAATCGATATTTTCTAAATATGGGGCAGTTGTAGGGATATCCGTACATAAGGGATACGCCTTCATTCAATACGCGAGCGAGACTAATGCACGTGCTGCGGTTATTGGTGAAGACTCAAAGACATATTACAACATGGTCCTAGGTAATTTTATGTGGATATTTTGGTTGAAACTGTTTTCGTTATCTTCGAGAAGTTTTCAGTTCTCATTTCACCTCAAATGTTTATATCCGCTACATTTTTGTGCTTTAGATGTGACTATAGCGTCCGAGCCAAAGAATCGCAAACGTGGAAGGTCAAATCCGGCATCTTCGCTACCATCTTGGTAATTAACGTTTTTAATACAATAATTGATTATTTCTTCTTATAGGAATGGTTTAACGAGGTATGTTTCAATTTAATTACGTGGTGTTTCGTAAGTTTTACCTGGCCATTCCATAATCTCAATTCCACCTTTCTGATAAACTTTTGATCCCTTTATTCTGTACGAGTTTCAAATGCATTTTGTTAACTTAGAATAGGTAAACAGTTGCTTTACAATTTGTGCATAGAAGAGTGTGCATGGTTGTTACTATACTTTCAGATAGTTTGAGTTTGAATTTGTTCCTGAACAAACCGCATCGGATATTAATTTGTTTTCCACTTAATTGAAGAACAATGTTTGCATGTCCTTAAAATACTTCTGTGTAGTGGATGAAGTTAATATCTCACTATTATTGAGTCCATGAAACTTAGTATGATATACGTATTTCCCTGTCCCAAGTACTTTCGTCGTAGTGATTAGCCAGTTAACCCTGGAGTCCCGCAGTAATCCCGTTGAAAGCAGGGATAAATTCTTTATTCTCTGAAATGTGGTAGTGACATTTTCTCACGAGTGCCAGGAAATGAGTGTTCCATTCATTAAGTTAAAGCGAAATAACAATGTGGTATTCCAAGTTAGTTGCGTCTTCACTTAGGCTCTAAACAGTGGGAAAGCGTTTTTCAGACTAGGCAGACCGTGTAAACAGCCTGCTATCATTCTTCTTTAACAAGTGGCGGCATATGGGAAAAATTAAAATGAACACCAAAAAGCTATTATGTGAAATGTAAGTCAAGTAAAAGTACATAAATAGTGCACGAAAGCCTGTTTACCCAATCCGTGTGGTAATTCCTGTAACTAACAGTTAGTTTAGCTTATTAAAATGCATTTTGTGCAACTCCCGGTTTTAACATCTTGAGATTGTTTTTTACTTTTGAGTTAGTTACCAGGACAATTTTTCTCCTCGTTAATTTGCAGTACAAACCTTTCAGAGCTCGCTTTACAGGCCCAGGCTTTGAGCACTATTGCTGGAAATTCTGTCCTGTCACTGCAGCAGTTTGGTCTTGAAGGAATCATGGGTCAGCCTAATCTCGTTAACTTTGCTGCAGCAGCAAGTTCTGTTTTTCACACCCCATCACTCGCTGGTCTAAATGTTTCTACACCCCAGGTACCAGTTACCGTGGGGAATTCACGTCAAAAATATACCAGAACGTCCAACAACACAACGACATCTTCAGCAACTCATAACTCTGTTGCTGCTAAACGTACTCGCCTAGAAGGTGTTTTAGGTAGTACCACGAATAACGCTTCCAATTCTAATTCTTCATTACCCGCTGGGGCAAGAGGACAGAATCTAGTCTCACTTGTTTCTGCAACAGATAGCCTTGTACCTCCGGCTAATCGTCGCCAAGTGACAAACTCAGGTCCCGTTCGTTCTGTGTCAGATCAGGCAACTAACAATACTGCAGCACGTAATCGTGTTGTTACGTCTGCACCTTCTCGTCCTACAAATACAGTTACGCCCAGCGGAAGTCAAAATTCACAAACAACTGATAAGAAGTCTCCCGTTACTCGCCCAAGTCGTCCAAAAACTTCAAACCATTCACTCGAAGTCGACAGTTCACCAGCTCAAAAATCAAGTCGCACAAGCTCGTCAACGAAAAGTAGCAGTCCCCAGTCAGGTAAATAGGACTTTCATTATTCATTTCAATTGTTACACATGTGATAACATAAGTTGGTTAACTAAGTCTTTAATCTGGGCTTGAGGGATGGTTAAATGCTTAGACAGTCCTATAATAAGGCTATAATATTTCCCAAATAAACTTTGCATCAAACCCCTGAGATGTGTCGAAAAGCTAAAGTAGTTAGAAACTTATTTTCTGCAAATTTCCCAATCTAAATTAGATTCAAGGGAGTGAGTTTTTACGTATACAGTTGTGCTTAAATGAGGCGTTGTCAGCATTGGCCAACAGGGGAAAAACAATGGCTTAGTCAATCAGTCAGTTGTAAATAGAGGTCCGCAAAAAAGAGCAGTAGAAGAAACTGAAAAGGTGCTTCTAACGGTGAGATGGAAAATAGCGACTTTATTAATGGGTTGTCAGCAAATGATGCTTTTAAGGAAGTAAATGTTATCTCGATGAGAAGGTAGTTCGAGCTACGGTACATGCGGATTTCAGCGTCTAGTTGATAAGTAATTTCTGTCTTGCCCTTACCTAGCACCTCAGAATGACTGTAAATTATCTTCTTGGTCAGAGATTTGATTAGGGTTTTAGCGTAGTGTGTCACTGTATTTTGTTTGTATTATTGGATCCGGATCTTATTCCAAATATCCTCCGTACTAAAGCCAATATCGTTTTATTAATTTATTGTAATTTAATTGTATTGGAGTGCTTACTTTGCTGTACATCAGACAGAGTGGTGCTTATTACCTTGCCCCAATATTTTGCCCGTCTGCTCCTATTTGAATCAGTTGATACAAGATCTAATTTCATGATTTTGTCTTTCATACATGAATATTGACTACGAACTTCTATTTATTGACTTTAATTAGTACATCTTTACTCACCACGAAATAAAAACGGTCCTTTTAATCATCTCTCTCCCTCAAGTCAAATAATAGTTGGTACTCGATTAAGGTTGCTGAAAGCATTGGGTACATCATTTGCTGAAAAAGATTCAACGTCTTCATTGCATTCCTTTAAATTTTTTCTGTGTAACATTTTGAAAAAATCTTTGCAATTTTTATTTCATACATATTAATTGTTGGTTTCAATTCTAAAGACTACTAATTTTTTTCATAACTTTAAGTTGGTTTTATGTTCTCACATTTTGTCAGTTGTTCAGTTGCGTTCAGAGGATATTCTGATATGTGGACGTTGTCGCCGTTTATTTGAACAAGTCGATGAACTTATTTCACATAAAATGGCCGGTTGCAGTCTAGATAAAGATACTGGGAGTAATTGTAATTGTCGAGCTGGTATGTGTTTTCAAGTGGTGTTTTTTGTTGTTGTTGTTGTTATAACTCATTAAACGCTTAGACAAATACTAGGTTAAATTTAATCTCATTTTTACTAAACCCTATCCCTTTTATGTATTTTGTGCTTGAACTTATTACCAGTGTTCCATATAACACTGGAAGCCATTAGTCACATATTTTTTGTTATCATGGCACCAATATAGGCGACAAAATTAGTTAAACAAATAGCCTTATTAAAGCTTGATATAAAATAACTGGATTTTGTATAAATAAAAAAAGTATAGTCAATGAAATTCAGTAGTATATGAAGATGAGAATTCGATTAGGGCATGTAATGGATTATAAGACTGTTGCATACAGATAGTTCAATTGATATTGAGATGTCGTTTACTTCTCATTCCGTAGGTGGCACAGCGTATAGGATGCTCGCCGACCATGCACATGGTTCGAGGTTCGATCCCTCGCTGACGCACACCTGATATCTATGGTCGGCCTGCTAAATTTGGGCTACCGATATCACATGCTGAAAATTTCATACTTGTACCAAAATACTGTGTGGAATCAAGCTAAAATAAAATTTTAAAAAAAAGTCAAATTCTAGTTTGTTTCATCTCGAAATTCAATTCGAACCTTTTAAAAGACATTAAACAAGAAATATGGCCAGTACAATAAACAGTCACTCAGTAACCATCACATTCATATCCATGCATTTGGTAATGAGCTATATGTATTGTGTGACGGTGAGTGAAGCGGGATTCGAACCTGTAACCTAGTGGTTGTCGGAAATCGAGCTCGTAGACCAACCAGTATAGACCCACATGAATAGTATAAGCTTTTCCAAATACTATGGAGGTGTAATTAAATATAATCCACTCTCTAAAATCATTGCACTAGCGTTATATTTGATCCTAGGTTCTAACGGAAGTTGTCATTTGTCTGTAAACGTGAGTCAGTAGTTATTAGTTAGTTCTTTTGAGGCGTATAACTTGCCAATAATCAAAACAAAGCGAGGTAGTTTTTCACTAACTTACAAACTCCAAAATACCAAATAACCTTTACAGCATTTCCAATTGCTTTAGAGAGGAAAACAATTAAGTCTGGTCTTAGTTTTTGTTGTTGTATATTTCCTTCATTTCAATATTACAATGTGATAAGTTTATTAACCAAAGCGACTGAAGTGTTTGGCTGAGGTATATGGTCTGGTCAATAGTGAGGATTGACTAGCATGGTGGATGTTAATTGCTGTGATTCCAGGAGTTAATTGTACATTCTCATCTCACCAATCATGCGTATCTAATGACACGTAGTCAAATCTTTCTTGGTTATCAGTCACTTGTTTTTATAGGTTATACGATTTGTATTCATTTAGTACTTCAAGGCTTCATCTTTTATTTTGTTTGTAACACGGAACATATTTCATGTCATTTAGTGATAGCATATGAAAGTATTACGATATAGTAGTTGTGCGTCCTCATTCAGCAGTTATGCCACATGTGTCAAGTGATTAACAACAGAAAGCTCAATGAGGCGTTTTAACCAAGGATAGGAGTAAGACAAGGTCACCTGCTATCACCGATAATATTCCTGATTGTGACTGACTGGATCAAGCAACAGCCAGTGGGAAGCAAAGAGATGGGAATACTTTGGATCGACTCAAAGGCTTTAGAAGATCCGGATGATTTATGTCTAGTTAGAAGGAGAGGCAAGCAGTGAAGATAAGACTACATTTGAGTGGACATAGAGAAATAAGAAGTGAAGACATCCAACCAACAACAAGCACTAACCACTAGCAGTGGGAGAAATCTAGAGGAAGTTGCCTGAACAGCATCGTCTCAACTACAGACGACACAGATGGTCATTTCAAAGGAAAGATAGAAAAAACAAGACAGGTGTTCATTACTATGAAATTTTTGTGGAAATATGCTGCAATCGTCATAACGAACAAGCTCCGAAGTTTCACCACGAAGTCAACTCAATGCTTTCACATGGTCCAGAGACACTTGGTGCCCACATCATCAAAAGTATTTTCAGCAGCCTGAAGACTCATCAACAGTTGCCTTCACTCTATACTAAAGATCAGACGACTGGCCAAAAAGGATAGGCACCAAGGAACTCTAGAAAATAGCGTACCAACCAAAAACCTGTTACCTGACAAATATGCACAATGAAGTGGAGACGGATTGGAAGTACACTGAGAAGACTATTGGGTCAAGTTGCGCTCCAGGGGAGTGGAATGGAGGCCGAATGACGAACGAGTTGGGTCTCTCAGTTTGACGTGGAGGAGATCATGTGAGAAGGAAATAAAAGCTTGTAGACAATTGTGCAGGCCAAGCAGCAGAGTGAAATGGAAATGTACTATAGAAGCCGTACGTTCCACTCGGAACTTAAGGGAATAATTGTAATAATTGTGCGCCCCGAAATCTAGAAGTGAATAATATTATAACCATTTTCATAAACTGCTGATTGCATTCCCTGCAACTTTCAGAATGAGTATGGTTATGTGCCGTATTAAGGGACATCTGAAACATTTTTATATATTTCTTACTATTGCATATGACATCATACCATGAAATGTTTGACCCATTCACTCTGTATAAACTGAGCTTTGGCGCACATCCAAATGGCCTCAGGATAGAACTTCACTTCAATCACCACACTTTGAACAACCAGATAATAATACTAATCTTCGTACCATACGTATAACTCACCGCCTGGTACATTAATGGGCATATATTTTATCAACCTGTAAAGATACACGTAAGTTAGTAATATAGTAACAGATGCAGAAAAGACCGATATATTGATTAAGTAGAGATAACAAGTAAACAAAGCTCTTAGCAAATATGTTAAACAACATATAATCGGTAAATATGCTTACAACTAAAGCTCATTTCTTCCACTTGACCTCATTTTCTCTACTACATCATCAAAACAATGCTGATAACAATTTTTCAAAATTAATTTCACTATTCTGTATATGACTTCTTTTAATGATTAACTTACTGTTTAGTGAAAAATGTGATTGCAAGTTGATTTTGTCACTTAAACAGATAAATTTAACCTTGCTTCTAACAGAAAATACTAAAGGAGGTTTATTCTCTACGTCTATTGTTAAATATAAACCTATGCAAACTTTTAATTAAGACAAGACCATTGATATGTATTCTTTCTCCCATATTATTTTTTACAGTTGGCGAACCAGAAACTCTAGAATGTGCATATTGTGGTGCAAACTTTTCTACTGCTTGGGGACTTATGCATCATTGTCATACTGATCATTTTCTAACTATATATGCCCTTCCTTCTCCTCCTGAATCACCATGTACATCATCCAATTCTCTTTCTTCACCATGCTCAAGTATGTCACGCCGATATCGTGACAGCAGAAGTGAGGATTGCTCTGAAAAATCTGGGAAATCTAGTTCTCACTCTGAGAATTCATCAGATCATAAAGGTGGTATGCATTCCACAACAGTTGCAGCACAAAATATAAAGCGTGAAAATTCTGTCACTGATAACTCTCATCCTTCTGGTCATCAAACAGTTGATGAAACAAATGAAACTAGTGACTGGGATGCTGAGGATGAAGATGACAATCACGAACAAGATGGCAGTGAGACTCCGACTGTAGAATCAGCTCAGAACAATCATTGTAGCACGCCTAATTCGTCAAGAGATCATTCACGTGATCGGTCGGCTACACGGTCTGCAAACGGCTGTTCAGATTCTGAAGCATCAAATGAAATTTGTAACAAGAGGATGCTTAAGAAGTCTTCTCCACCATGTCCCCGTAGAAGTCGAGGTTCTGAATACGGTCGTCATGAGACTGTAGAAGACGATGACTATGCAGATGATGATTCAGAGTCTGGTAACGTAGAAGCTGATTAATTTCTAAGGTATGTGATAGCTGGTATTTTATTGGTTGGTTCTGTTTACTGTGTCGATGTTCAACTTCGTATAATGAAATACTTACTATCCAACGATACCCTAGTAATCAGGTTTTGTGTGTTTGTGATAGTGATATGTTTGCAGTTGGGTTGTATGGTTTTTCAGTTCTCCCAAAGTATATTGGTAAATTAAGGTTATACGTAACGCTCATTTGTAAGACAAGATATCTATCCGTAGTTGCGCATTATATTTACATGTGCTTCAAGAGGGATTTCAGTAATCAAGTAGCAAAATACAAATAATCCTATTAAACGCTCCTATACTGCACAAGATTACTTGAATTCGTAGTCGTTTGCCATTTTATAGATATTTTGTTACTTCCTAAGTAAATTTATCAATAAAATAGTCGTAAATAACAGTTTCTCAGATGAACTTTGATCTGAGAATTCAGTCTGCACCAAAATCATGAACTGGACTCATGACAAGAGGTCATTTGGGAGCCCGAATAACTCAATTAGTAGTCTGTGACTGCAACAGGCACTGAGCAGTGCCTGTTCGAATCTCAGAGGAGATACTAGTTCCTATTCCTTGCTGGTGAGTGCCAGTAACCACGAAACTTAATTCTAGGGCTTCCTGCCGATTACCTCCAACCATCTAACATCAACTGACAATGCACCATAATGGCTAGTCACCTAGCTTGGTAACCACATTGCAAACTTGATTAATAGATAGAATTCAGTCTGCACTAATAACGAGGACTAGACGCGTGACAATATGGCTACTCCCTAGTTGCCAATCAATGGATATAAGAGTTTTCGTGACTCAGTCATCTCCAGTGTATCCTCACACGATTTGCTGCTAGTTATACACTTTAGCAAGTAGATTTGAGTAATATTCTTAAGCGTACATTCACATGTATAAGTACCCCCAACTATCGCCGTTTCACCTACCACCCTAAAGCATTAACAGTTTGCATTTAGTTAATGATTACAGTGTAACAGAATTTACTGGGTGATGTCAATCATCATATACTCTTTAGCTTTTGATCAACTCAAATAAACCCGTCACTTTTCACTATATTTTACCTCGTCACACAACTGGCTTTATTGTCGGGTTTTATTCAACACCTCCAATTCACCCTGTTTCCTCTATTGACACCGCAACGATTGATTTCATAATTTTGGGTCAAATTTTCCTAAAATCCACCCCAACGCGTCCCGCCCTCTGGCCCAGTTAGGATGTATCTGATACTATTTGAACCAAATGATTTAAAATCGGACTTAAGTTCTATAGGATATCAACATCTCCGTCTCAGCCGCTTTAAACAGATCAAAGTTATCTGAAAATCCCAGTAGTAATTAAGATTGTCTCATGAACAAAGAATATTCTTGTTGTTAGTCTACTCCCGAACAACAATAATAATAATAACATTGAATTGTTAAGATCAAAGCATTACGAGTTTGTATATTATTCCAGACAGGATATGCTAATTGTTATTTCCAAGCCACTAATTAGTTAGATACAGTTAAACACATGTTTGTACACAATACTATGTATTAGTGTAAAATTTGTGGCAACTGAAACTGATCTACGTGAGTGAGCATTAGGACAACCCCGAAATATACACATCAAGTATCTCAGGGAATTCCATTCAAAGTAAATTGAACCTGCTTACTTAATTAGCAAGATTAATGCTTCGAATAAACCTTACTTTGTCTGATAATTAAGTTCATGAGAAATAAATTTATACACAAGGAAAAAAGAAGGATAAACGTGCTTATTAAGTGAATGTGAAGAAGCGTCCTTCGATTTGTATTACTTCAGATAGCCAGAAAAAGTTGCAAAATGATCGCCATCAGTTTAAGTATTGAGTTTCAGAACCGTATAGTCTTTTTTATCCCACTCAAGAGGATGTGATGTAACAACGGATACTACCCCAAAACAAATATTGTTCGTTATGTGGTGCTGTGTTATGTGCTGACCAACTCTCTTCTTCCGGTCAATCGTAAGGATGACAAACAACAAACAATACAGAAGCACCTGAGACAAAGTTTATAACTCGTATTCAAACCACCGCACCCTTCTTCCCCAATTGGTCACCATCGGACACAAGTAATCCTACGCAGACTGTGGCCCGTCAGACATTCTTATTTGTGGTAGACAGTTTTAAAGTCTTAGAGCAAGCTACGCTCAGAGGTGTGTGATGAGTCGTATCTTCGACTGCGAGACCAAGATTTCCATAGTGCTAGAGATTATCCACACCAGTATATACTACCGTAGCTTTCGATACGCAATCACAAACCTTATTTGTTACACTACCCAGATGTTATAGACTTTTCGACTACTTCTAACTGTTCACCTGTTGCTAGAATGTGTGTGTGTGTGTGTAGGCTTCTTACCAGTTTTAAAACACTATTTGCCAGTTGAACTAGGCAAAACACATACCATATCTAGACTAACGGTTATCTGATTGAATACCATTTGGGTAGCCTGTATGCTAATTCACAGTATATCCTGCAAGCCAAGTAATCGTTCTCTAGAGTAGCATATATCTACACCATCTCCACACACATTTGTCATATTACTACGTGTAAAGATCAAAAGGAGGGAGTAACAGACTAACTTTACACCGAGCCAATACTTACATTCTCTTTACATTGTAACAATATAAATTCAGATGCATGTAAATCATAATTAAAGGTGGTGAATAGCTTGATGTAAGGATTTCTTTGAGAATATTATTAGCACTCTGTGCAAATAAAGTTTCCAATTAAAAAAAAGTGGTGATGAACGATGTGTAGCTAAAATAACTATGCTGGAAATATTTGGAAGATGTTTATTCTTGAGTTTAAGCGCTGAGTAGTCTTCACTAATTACCTGTCCCAGGGCCTTTCAATTAGTTGTGTTAGTTATTGAATTACCTGTTTTTCCTCTCATTTAATCATGGCTGCTAAGGTATATTTACCTTCATGTGGAGTAATAAGCTTCAGTTTATGACTAAGACCATGTCTCCAGGATACAAGATATCCTGGCGTGTGTGTGTGCATATGTGTAATGCGCAGTATTTCACCGGAAGAGCGATATTCTTAGTGGATTTCTCCGTTGTGAAGGGATGAGCTAATAACATTGCATAAACAGTACTACCAAATTGTATCTTGCATTCATTATCAGCACGGTGAGAATGATTTCCTTGTTTCCTGAAATTGTACCGAGTCGTGGACTTTTATCAACTAAACTCTACTGTTCTTTTATTTTGTCATTTGTCATATACTGCATACTTGAATTTTATATTATGTTTCACACTGTGATATATGATATAAGGACAGAAAATCTTAGTCAATTAGTCAGGTTCTTTTCATTTAAACAAACGAGTGTGCATATATGAGGTGTTTTCTTTTTAGTTGTTTTTTTTTTGTTTTTGAAAAGTCACTTTTCAAACCTTATTGTGTTTGTGTAGTGGTAGTAGTAGTAGTATTCTTAGTGTGTGTAGTGGTGGCTGTGATTTTCACCGAAAAACTACACTTTTGTCTCCCTTGTCCATTATTTTTTTGTACAACACCAAAAATTATCTGTGCGTTTATTTGACAATATCAAACAATGAATATACCTTTTTTTTCGCATAGTAAACCTGAAATATAATTCATATTGATAATGATTTTTTTTATTATCTTCTAGTTATCCGGGTTATTTTTGTATTTATGGAGTGATTACATTTTAATCTTAAAAGATATATTGAGGTGTGTGTGTAATGTGAATTATCTGGGGAGAAAAATAGTGGTTGCAAGGTGTTTTCGCGCATACCATATAGCAAAAGTCCACAGTGGATACTCCAGTCGTGTTGAAAAAGGTCTGTAGAATTCCTCTAAAACAGCCAAATGTAACAGTTGTTTTGCTTAGATTAAAGCATTTCTCTAGACACGCAGTATACAAAATCACATGGGAATAACTGCCTGAGAAAATTCCAGTTGTAATTGACCACCTCTATTCTACCTGTTCAAGTTGTAGACCTTTTAAAAGGTCTGATATCCTGTAGAACAGCTTGCACTGCCTTAATTTATAACCACGTAGGTGATTTCGTCTCATCAGCCTTCCTGTCATCTTTAATAAATTTAGCCTGAGTATATATATATATATATATATATATATTAGGTATGACACGGCACCCCCATGTTAGTGCAATCCAGTGTTAAGTGAAATAGGACTAGGTTTTAGGTAAGGGACGATCGTACCAGTGTATAAAGTTTTTTAACGTTGGTTTTAGTCCCTTATTGCCGTCCTTGCCTTCTTAGCTTGAATTTCTGACGATTAAAAACTTAACAATTGTTGATTTTTCTCAGGTTTGATTACGAGCTGAGGTCAGTCAGAGAATCACTGGGAAACCAGAGAAAATACTTGAACGGCCGTTTCGTCCTAGTTTGAGACTCGTCATCAGATCTGTAACCAATCAAATCCCTGTAAACCAACACTTGATAACTAGTTTGATGCTCACTAGCGACTGGCCCTATACAGGAAGTTTCCTGGAGTCCCGGTGAGAAGTCATCACCAATGGGGTCCACTAAGTCAGGTGAGAGAACAATTACTCGCCAATGACATTGTCTGGTGGTTGTGCTATAGTATATATCGTGAATAGACAAAAGTTGGAATTTATAAAATATTTGATTGGATCCCGGAAGGTCTTGTGTTCCAACCCATGTGGGTGCTTATAGATGAAGATTCCAGAAGTAGGACGAAGCAAGCTATTGAGTACTCTCTGGTTTTCCAGTGGTTTTCTAACTGATGTCAGCTTGTGACCGAATATGTAGCCGATGAAATCCCTGCAAACCAACACTTGTTGATTTTGTTTAAAATCGACTGTAATAGTTCGGATTTTTTAAAATTTTGAACATATTCTGTGATTACTATTCCTTTTAGTCATTATCCTGTTCTTATTTGATTTTTATGATCTGTTTCTGAATCTGACAGCTTAAACTGTGTACCACGTTAATCCTGTCAATCTGTTG